CTGGTTGATGTGAGAGTAGGAGGTCTTTCCCGTGTGCTCGAGATTCCGTCGGACTTTGATTTGTTGGAGGATACGGTGGAATTGGTGCCACAATTCGACCTACTGTGTTCTGTCGCCAAAAACAGGTCGCTTCGGGAGGTCAGCGATATCGGCTTGTCACATTGTGTAGCTGAGATGGCTTTGAGGGTAAGTTTGTCGTTTTTCCCCTTTTACACCTTCTGCCTTTGCTGACCCTTTATTTTCCGTCTTCTTTTTCCTTTTCAGACTTTTATCTTGGAGACCGAGAGTGCTCGTTGAGCCTTTCAAAAAATTGTTGTGAAGTATCTCCTGTATCGCGATAAGTGTCGTGAGATGCATGCGCTGCTCAGCTCAGGTGGCAGTTGCCAATCCCTTAGGGAGGAGTTGGAGCGGATATATGAGGAACTGATGCGGTCAATTAGCAGATGCAGCAAGCTTGAGGGGCTGCTGAGGGCCAAAGAAGAGGAACTCGAGGTGGGTAAGGGGGTTGCAACTGAGTGTGTCGACGTCCAGGCGAAGGTGGTGGCCTTGTGGGCAGAGCTTGATTAGAATGCTACCAGAGTTGCTGAGTTGAGTGTAGAGTGGTCGGAGAAGGTAGCCGAGTTAGAGAATAATGTGACTGAGTTGGAGAGGGCCGAAGGGGCCCGAGTGGCAGCTTTGGCGAGGGTGGCGGCGTTGGAAGACACTATCCGTGTTCTCAGGTCCGAGCGAGAGGTTGAGAGGGAGATGGCTGCACTGAGGGAGGGGCCATTAGAGGAATGAATCGGCGTGCTTGAGCGCGATGTCTCGAACCTGGGCAATCAAGTTGTGGCTTTTGATGCCGAAAAGGCGCGATTGTTGGCTCAGGCGCCTTCCTAAGTACCTGCCTCTGCCGCCGTCCCCCGCCATCTGTACGAGATGTGGATCTATGCTGAAGCCCAGCGAGATATATATAAGGGCTTGTTGGCGGCGGGGGGCATTTCTAAAGCTGTTTTTGAAGTTGCTCGTGTTAAAGCACACGAGGCTCGTCTTGCCTGCGGCTATGACCCTGCGGCGTTGGAGGCCGGTGGAGATGCTGAGTTCGAGGATGAGCTTGCTTCCAATGATGAGGATGTTGGAGGGGACGATGGTGGAGATGAAGCGGCCAGACCGAGCGTGAAAAGAGGTGATGGCGTGGATAGTGTTAATGCTGAGTGAAACCTTTGTACATTTAATTTGTCCTTGTGTACTTAGTTTAGTTTTTTTGTACTTGGTTGGTTGGGTGGGGGCCCCCTTTTGGCCCTTTGTAAGACGCTTTATCTTCTTTTCTTTATTTGTTTGAATGGAATAGTTGGTTCGTCTTTGATTGTATGTTTCTGGCTTTTCCTTTCTTCTTTTTTTTATTTGTGAGGAAGTCCTTGACTTTTGGCTTAGTTCGAACGAGGTCATTGATTCGGACGGATTCGAATGAAAGTTAACTCGAGCGAGGTTGAATGTAGGCTAATTCGAATGAGGTTGAATGCAGATCAATTCGAACGAGGTCGAATGTAGATCAATTCGAGCGAGGTCGAATGTAGATTAATTCGAACGAGGTCGAATGTAGGTTAGTTCGTACGAGGTCGAATGTAGATCAATTCGAGCGAGGTCGAATGTAGGTTAATTCGAAAGAGGTCGATTTTTGACTTGTAAGTTCGACCAAGTTCGAATTTTGCCTTGTAAATTCGAGTAAGGTCGAATTTTGACTTGTAAACTCGAGCAAGGTCGAATTTTGACTTATAAATTCGAGCAAGGTCGAATTTTGCCTTGTAAATTTAAGCAAGGTTGAATTTTGCCTTGTAAATTCGAGCAAGGTTGATTTTTGACTTGTAAATTCGAGCAAGGTCGAATTTTGACTTGTGGATTCGAGCGAGGTCGAATTTCGCCTTCGCTCGGCGACGGCCGGGAGCCGCATGGGTGTGAAATCGAACGAAGTCGAGTTCTGACCCATGATGAGTTCGATCGAGGTCGAATATTTACTTGTTAATTCAAACAAGGTCAAATTTTACTTTCGTTTGGCGATGGCCGGGGGACGCATGGGTGTGAATTCGAATGAGGTCGAATTATGACCCGTAATGAGTTCGAGTGAGTTCTAGCGTTGACTTGTTAATTCGAACGAGGTCGAATTTTACTTTTGCTTGGCGATGGATAGGGGCCGCATGGGTGTGAATTCGAACGAGGTCGAATTGTGACCCATAATGAGTTCGAGTGAGGTCGAACGTTGACTTGTTAATTCGAACAAGGTCAAATTTTACTTTTGTTTGGCGATGGCCGGGGGCCGCATGAGTTTGAATTCGAACGAGGTTGAATTGTGACCCGTAATGAGTTCGAGTGAGGTCGAATGTTGACTTGTTAATTCGAACACGGTCGAATTTTACTTTCGCTTGGCGATGGCCGGGGGTCGCATGGGTGTGAATTCGAATGAGGTCAAATTGTGACCCGTGATGAGTTCGAGCAGGTCGAACGTTGACTTGTTAATTCGAACGAGGTCGAATTTTACTTTCACTTGGCGATGGCCGGGGGCCGCATGGGTGTGAATTCGAACGATGTCGAATTTCGACCCGTAATGAGTTCGAGCGAGGTCGAACATTGACTTGTTAATTAGAACGAGGTCGAACATATATTTTCTGCGTTAGTGGTGCAAATTGAGTGGTGTAAGAATGTCATACACTGCCTCGCTTTCGTTGGAGTATCACGTGTAACTGCTTGGTTTATGCGCGCGTTGGGAAGAGTCCCAGTCTATCTAGTCCCTTCATTGCTCGGCCAAGAAAGGCAGTTGACGGGACGGGCGACGAACGTATTACTTAGGCTTCGGGACATCCTGGGCCTTGACTGATTCGAAATGGATTCGGATGTGACTTATCGAATTTAGTTGGTTGAGTTGGTGTAATGCCGCTCTGGCGCGTGTGTGGGTGAGCTTCGCGTACTTTATGTTACGCATGTGTTGGAGAGATTTGTACTTTCTAGGTTGGCCGCCCAGTCCCAGACTACGGGGATTTTTCTTAATGATGTCGGGCTGTGTCCAAACCGTGTGCCGGTTATCTGCAGTATGACATGGTGTGGGGTGTTCTTCCCGATTTGCTGTCTCCCAACGGGAGGAACTCAAGCCTGCATGTGAGCAGTCCCTCGTTCGTGTATTTGGGAAGACGCCCATGCCTCTTTTGAAAAAAAGGAATAACAGGTTAGAAGCAAATAGAATCATTTGTTACCTCAATCGGCTTGTTATCTGATGAATGAGGGGTGGACCGGTCGCATTTTCTTCGTAGGTCTACTCTCCGCTACTTGGGTCTAGGAAGCCCCTTCTACTTGGTCGGCTGCGAACTGAGGGGCACGCCATGAAATGGCTCGTCTCCCCCGTAGTGTTGGCCCCGGATCTGATCTTTACCTCGCGCTTGGCCTCGCCGTTAGTCGAATCTGGGAACTTCCATGGGCTGGTGGATCACCTTGCCCGTCAGGCGTTTCGAAGAATTTCACACGGACGTAGTTTATAAGAAGGAATGCGGTGTGCTTAAGATATAAAGCCTCGGATTTACTATCACGGCGCGGTGTGGTTTCGCACATAAATCAGCCATAGCCCTGATCCTATGTGAGGATATGACCATGTTTGGTTTAATTTCGAGGGCTTTCCTGTAAATTTCTCAAGTCTGTGTGCACCGTGGTAAGGTGAAGCTACCACGAACGGGTAATAGAGCTAAGACCAAGTTTAGATCTAAAGGAAACTAATACTTTGGCTAGAAAATCCCCACAGACAATGCTAAATTGTTCGACCAAAATATTTTCAATCTTTTGGTAAACTAATATAAATAATAAGAAGAAGGATAAATTCTAGCCAAAAATAATTAACTCTAGATCAGAAAATGATAAGCAAAAGGAACCAAATGGTTGGACTCAAGGGTTGATTATGAGCAAATTTGACACCTTTGATATACAATGGAGTAGCATACTCAACGACATCAATTCATAGTATAAAATAAAGTAAAGGAACAAAAGAAAGGAGTTCACCGATTCGTAAACTAAACCTATCTTCGTTTATGTAATGATAAATGATTACAAACGAACGCACAGTTCTGGGCTCTCCCCCGTTTACAAAGTAGGCTCTTGGATTTCTCCTTGTTATGAGTGATGATTTTTGAGATCTTGGATACCCCCCCCCCCCCGTTTACTATTCTCTCATCTAATATTTATATAAGGTATTTTCATTTACCCAACGGTTCTTAACTGGGGTACCTCAGTCTTTCGACTGTACTTTAGATTAACCCTCTGAAGCGCCGTATAATTTAATTCGCCGTGCAGGCCTTCCGAGTGCACGACCTCGGTCGTGGTCGAGGTATTCGCCGCTGTAGAGCCTCTTAAATACTCTTTTTGCTTTCTTGATCCTTCTGTCGCCCCTTTTCATGCAAAATTTGTTAAGAGCTTGAGAGCTCTGTTAATGGCGGAAGAGAAGAGGTGAGGAAGGACGGAGGAGAAGGAAGAAGATTCTGGAGAATTTTTTTTTATTTCACTAACTAACTTCTCAATACAATGTACATGGTTTTATACTAAAATAATTGACATCTTAATTACTGTTGCTAACTCTAACTAACTAACTAACTAACTAATTGTGACAGCCCATTTACACATCAACATCCCTCAACACTCCCTCTGAAGATAAGTGGTGTGAACAAGTTGAACACTCCTAGCTTGGATAACAGAAATTCATGCTGAGCTCGACCAAGACCTTTAGTCAGAATGTCTGCCAGTTGCAACTCTAATTTCACATGTGTTGTTTCTATCAATCCTTTTTTGTATCTTTTCTCTAATGAAATGGCAATCGATTTCTATGTTCTTTGTCCGTTCATGATAAATTGGATTTGCTGCTATCTAAAGAGCTGCTTTACTATCGCAAAACAACTTCACTGGTAGCTGAATTTGCAAGTCCAGTTCTCCAAACAGCCCCACTAGCCAAACCACTTCTGCAATTGTTGTTCCCATGCTCCTGTACTCAACTTCTACTGAAATTCTTGATATAGTACTCTATTTTTTGACTTCCACGAGAGTAAGGAGTCTCCAATCTTGACAACAAAGCCACTGATTGATTTTCTTGTCATGGGACAAGTGGCCCAATCAGCATCACAAAAAACTATCAGCTCATTAGATCTCTTAGAAGACAGTAGAATTCCTAGACCAGGTGCATTTTTGAGGTACTTGACTACTCTTAATGCTGCTTCCATGTGTGACTTCTTGGGAGAGAGCATGAATTGGCTTAAGTTCTGGACTGTGTAGGCTATGTCAGGCCTAGCCATAGTAAGATATAGTAGCTTGCCCACCAGTTTTTGATAACTTGTAGCATCTTCCATTGCCTCATCTATCTCTGTATCACCAGCTCCAAGGCCTTTGTCATATTCCACACTAGTAAGTCTTTGATTGACTTCCAAGGGTGTGTTTGCAGGCTTAGAGCCTGCCAAACCTAAGTCTAAAATTAGGTCCAAAGCAAATTTTCTTTGACAGACAGAGATCCCATCTTTGCTTCTAGCTATTTCAAGACCAAGGAAATACTTCATCTCCCCCAGGTCCTTGATCTTGAAATGGTGCTGAAGTGATGCCTTAGTGGCATGAATAAGAGAAGAAGAAGAACCAGTGATCAAAAGATCATCCACATACACAAGAATGATCACAATATGACCATCAAGTTTCTTGGTGAAAAGAGAGTAATCATAGTGACTCTGGGAGAATCCAGATGTCAAAAGGGCCTCAGATAATTTCAAATTCCATTGTATGGATTCTTGCTTCAGTCCATATAGGGACTTTTGCAATTTGCATACCTTAGACAACTCCCTTGTCTAGCAAAACCTGGAGGTTGCACCATATAGACATCTTCCACCAAGTCTCCTTGAAAAAATGCATTAAACACATCCATCTGGTGCAAGCGCCAACCATACATAGTGACTCTGGGAGAATCCAGATGTCAAAAGGGCCTCAGATAATTTCAAATTCCATTGTATGGATTCTTGCTTCAGTCCATATAGGGACTTTTGCAATTTGCATACCTTAGACAACTCCCCTGTCTAGCAAAACCTGGAGGTTGCACCATATAGACATCTTCCACCAAGTCTCCTTGAAAAAATGCATTAAACACATCCATCTGGTGCAAGCGCCAACCATACATAGCTGCCATGGATAGAACAGCTCTAACAGTGACCATTTTTACTACAAAGAGAAGGTCTCTTGGTAGTCCAACCCCTCTTGTTGTGTGTATCCTTTGGCCACCAAACGAGCCTTATATCTTTCTACCTCTCCCTTAGCATTATATTTCACCTTGTATACCCATTTACATCATATGGCCCTCTTACCAGGAGGTAAGTCAACCAGAGACCGTGTATGGTTATCAAGTAATGCTTGAACCTCCTGTTTCATAGCTGCAACCCAGTTTTCATCTTGTAGAGCCTCTGAATAGGAATCTGGTTCCTTGATGACAGAATAGTCGCAAATAGAATCAAGATAAGAAGCTGAAAGAGAGGTGTAAGACATGTACTCAGACATCGAATAAACGCAAGAAGCTGAAGTGTGAGTACTGGGCAGTGGACCATGTACAAAATCATTTAACCATCCAGGAGGTCTAGAAATTCTACCAGTTCTCCTGGGATGTGGAGGAGAAGCAGTAGGAGAAGTATTAGGTAATGTATGATGCAATTCAAAACCACTGGAATGTGTGTAATGTCCAGGTGATAGCTGTAATGGACTGGTTGTTTCAGGAGTATCTTGTACAACATGGGACGATTCTGGACTACACATGGGTGCTGGAGATGTTGGAGAAGGTGATTGAACTGAAGGTGAACTATTTTGGACAAATGATGACTCTAAAGGTGAATCCATATGTGGCATAGATGCAGGATATGTAGGAATCCTGTTGGCATTTAGTGTTTGAGTTGATTTGAATGGAAATACATACTCCTTAAAAACAACATCTCTGCATATGAAGAATACTTTGCGTGAAAGGTTATATAACTTGTATCCCTTTTGTGTGCTGGAATATCCCATATGTACTGCTGCTTCAGATCTTGGACCAAATTTATCTCCATTGGTCCCAGTGTTTGTTACATAACACAAGCTGCCTATGACTCACAAACGACTCAAGTTGGGTTTTCTGCCAAAGAAAACTTCAAATGGTGATTTGTTCCCCAATACTGGTGATGGTATCCTATTGATGAGATACACAGCATTAACAACATAAATACCCCAAAATCGTAAAGGCAACCCTGCTTGAAATCTAAGTGCCCTGGCCACTTCAAGTATATGTATGTGTTTTCGTTCGACTACTCCATTTTGCTGGGGAGTATGAACACAAGAACTCTGGTGTATGATCCCTGCATTAGTGAACAAAGCTTTGCAGAAAGAATTAAAAAACTCAGTTCCATTATCACTTCTAAAAACCTTTATTGATGCATTAAACTGAGTTTGGACAAGCAGCAGGAATTCCTTAAGAACAGTACTACATCACTTTTCAGATGTAATAGGAATACCCATACCATTCTACTACAATCATCCACCAAAGTAAGAAAGTATCTGCAACCATCAAAATTAGGAACCCTATATGGACCCCAAACATCTGCATGTACCAAGTCAAAAGGTTTTGCAGCTCTACTATTGCTTACGGGAAAAGAAATCCTTGTCTACTTAGCTAGAGAACATACAGTACAAGACTTAGTGTTATTCATGTTACTTCTAACTAAAGAGAGTTGTTTTAATATCCTTCCTGAGATATGCCCTAGTCTCCTATGTCATAGCTCCTCCTCATCATGTACTGTTAGGAACACCGAAGGAACAATTGATGATGTCCTTTTATTCTTTGAGTGCCAGTGATACAGATCCTCTTCCATTCTACCAATCCCCTTCACCTTCCCATTGTGAAGGTCCTGCATTAGACAAAAATCAGGATAGAATGTCATGAGGCATCTCAGCTCCCTTGTCAACTTTGCTACTGATAACAAACTGAACTTGAATTCAGGGGCAAATAAAACATTATGTATTCTTCCTTGTAACAGTTCAGAACTACCTATGTGAGTAATGGGAACTCTACTACCATTAGGTAATAGTACCTTCTGATTCTCACGTTTAGTTACTGTAGATAACATATCACTGTCTCCCACCATATGATTTGTGGCACCATTATCTACAATCCACTTATCACCTATCATTAGGAGTAGAGGGAGTAACAATACCTGCTGCATTAGCTGCTGCTTCTGTCTTAGTATTGTTACCTTTGTTCAGCATCTTCAAGATTTGATTATATTGTTCCTGTGTGAATACCATGGGGGCTGGAATTGCATTCATACTTGTTGCTCCTTGACCTATAGCAGCATTATTCATTATTCCTTGACCCTGATCCAAACCTTGATTTCCGCCACTAATGAGGTTTGAACCACGATGTTCTTCACCAGGAAAGCATCCATGTCTATTAGTGTTATATCCTTGATTGTAAACTCCAGGACTGTAATTCCCAGGATAATACTGGCTAGGGATCACATTAGTATTTTGGTCCAGTTGTCTACCAAATGACATCACATCGTTCGCAGATGCCCCATTCTTCTTTCTTCCGTTATAGTTTGGGTGGTAACCAACCAAGTGGTAACAATTTTCCTTGATATGACTTTTTAGTTTGCAATGTTCACAAAATAGATTGAAGTTTCTTTTTGGTTTCTGTTGTCCACCTTTTGCACTCCATAGTGCTGTAATATCATTCCCTTCTACTATGGAATTAACTCCAGATGTTGGTGTCAATTGACTCTCACTTTCAATAATCATTGCATATGCTTGATTCAAGGTTGGTTCTGTTATTTTCATGAGAATTTGACGCCTCGCCTGGTCATATGAGTCGTTTAATCCACTGAGAAACTGAAGCAGCCGTTGTTGTAGAAAATGCTCCACATATTCCTTGGATTTCGGACAACCACAATTTGGGGAAGGTACCATTGCATCATATTCTGCACATAGCTCTTTCATCCTTGTGAAATATATAGAAACAGAGGCCGTTCCTTGAGAAATTGTTGCAATTTCTCGATGTAACTGAAATATACGCACTCTGTTTACCTTGTCAAAATGCTCCCTCAGATCTTCCCATACAAGATGCACATCATATGCATAAACAATTCCGCTGAATAGATGCGGCGCAATTGTGTTCATTATCCATGAAAGGACAATCGCATTGCATGTTTCCCAGTACTCATGAAATTCAACATCAAATAATTCCTTTCTACAAATTCCGGTAACAAAACCTAATTTCCGTTTGGCTTGAAGTGCTATACGCATCGACCTTCGCCATAGTCCATAGTTCTCAGATCCTTTGAGCTAGATCGGAATCAGAATTGAACCTGGAGTGTCCGATGGATGCACAAAAAGTGGATGCGTGTGATCGATTTTAGCTTCAATTCCTGTAGCCGCTACTCCCGTTCCATCTTCATTCGCTGTTTCAGCTGAATTGGGCAGAAATTATAAAACCCTAGCTTTGCGAATTGTGAGCTTAGAACGATTTCTTCACGATTCTGCAGCAAATTGAAAATGCAATAAACTTCGAGAATTAGGTGAGTTGTGAGTAAAAATCCCGATCGATTCTCACTGCTCTGATACCATGTTAAGAGCTTGAGACCTCTGTCAATGGGTATAGTTGAAATTCATTGAAATATATAGATAAGTCAATATACAAAATTTGAGGAAGATTGGAGGTGATTTGGACTGGTTTTGTATCAAAATTCGTAATTAAATCGAGTTCAAAAAAGTCATCTGCGACACATGTATCAAACATGTATCACGCATGCATCACACACAGGTATACGTGGATATACATGTGATACACAATTGATACAAATATGATACATATGTGATACACAAATGATACACAGTGTGATACACATATCATTTTTTTTCATGTACAGCTTTTACTTCGAATTTTCAATTCAAACCACCTCAAAACTTCACCAAATCATTCCAAAATTGAGATTCAAGCTCCTTACGTTGTGCCCAATCTATTCTAATAACACCCACTCAAAACAAAGCACAAATTTGATATTTTTTGCTACAAATAGCTAATTGGCTAATTTGGTTAATATTAGTAATATTTTGTCAATTGGCCAATTTTTGTAATGAGCTACTTATAAATGGACATAGCTGGTAATTTCCCAAATATATTCTCATAGGAAGATCTTGATTATCTCTCTCAAAAACAATGAACGCTACATTCTTTATTGTTAATATATCATTTCAATTAAGTTCATTCTGAAGTTTTGTTTAACAAAGGATGATTGGGAAGAAAGCACAAAACGCTGAATACTCGTAACTAGTAAGAAAAAGGGCAGCTCGGTGCACGAAGTATCTCACGTTTAGAGTCCGGGGAAGGGTCGTAACCCAATGGGGTGTACTATAAGCAGTGCATCCTAATGCAAACACCAATCAATAGGTAGTTTCACGACTCGAACCCGTTACCTATAGGTCACGTGGATTTGCCGTTGCCAAGGCCCCTTCCTTGTAACTAGTAAGACTACCAAGAAATAAAACTTCCGTTTCTAAAACCAACGTAGAACTTAGTCAAACTGGACAATAACAAGTTGCCTATAAAATACATGTCTTGCCAGAGGCAAGTTAAATACTTAACAAACACTAACATTATACTAACAATGAATCAATTATCTGCATTCCCTTAGTTTTTGCACATATTGCAGAATTATACTAATACCACTATTTTCCCAAGCCACGTTCTAGTGCCCTTCTCTTGCTTCTTGATATTTTTCTGATTGCCATCTGCAGAGCAATAATAAACAATGAATTACATTAGGGTCTTCGGATATTGTGTACACTTCCTGTAATTTTTGATTGAAAAAATAACAAAGTTTTAACTTTTTGAATATCTAAGGAATTCTATTGCTCTACAGGTATGGCAAGTGCAAATTACCCCCTTTACCTCCGCATGGCTTTTTCTTTTTTCTCATGAAATTGAATTCCTACTACTGGAATAAGAACATCATTTGTACAAAGGAGTTCACAGCATGAACAAAAGAAATAAAAGATTTAACTAAGTTATGAGCAACAACATTAAAAGATTTAGAAATATATACAAAATCCACCTTAGGGAAGATAGAAAACAATGTCCGTGTGGATTCCAGAGAATTGTTCTTTTATTCCTTTTAGTCAGTAAACTGAAGAGATCTATGAATTACCTAAGATGTTATTTAATCAATCTTTTCACAAGAACGGTAAGATACTACATAAAATTACTAAATCAAGTTAATTAGTCAAAAATAAATGCAATGCCATGGCAATGCAAATTATAAATATACCTCGCTGCAGCAGCAAGGTATTGTATCATCCACCTGTAAAATATTGAAAAGATGGAAATTATATTCCATTCAAAAAATTGTTCACCAATTTGCGACTAGAGCTTGAACAATAAACAAAGTTTCCAATTACCATTAATGGCTTATGTTTGTAGTTTTAATTGTTATTACACTGTATTTGTAAAATAAATTCTGGAAATATAAATGAATATAAACAGTAATGAATATAAACAGAAATGACATAAACCAATTCGAGCCCACTGAATTCACAGTGTTTCCTTAAGGAATTTAATCCCCTCCTAGTACCCAAGGTTATGGATTATTTCCTCCCAGGATAGAACGAATTACACACTGGTGTAGTGGTACTTCAAACCCCAGTGTTTCAGCGAACACAAAGTTCGGTAGCAAATCACACTTACTTTGTGCTTTGTTTTGATGCCAAAAGTATGCAGAAGAAGGAGAAGAAACTCAGAAAATCGTAGTTAAAATTCTGAGCAGAATAGTGTTGTATTTATAGCCAAAGTTGGGTCTCTTCAGAGTGGCTGTTTATGCAAAACGCCCACAACATAAATGCCATTACATAAATGGCCATTTACTCAATAATAAAGAGGGAAAATAAAGAGGGAAAATTGAAGAGGGTAGTTACTTTTCTGTTACCAAAACAGAAAAACGGATTGGATTTAATATTAATATTTAATATTAATATTTTGTTATTAAAACAAATATTTAATAACATTTCTGTTAATATTTTACTATTAACAAATAAATTTGGTCCAAAAAGTTAATCAATCAATCGATCATTTGACCAAATCCAAATCCAAATCCAAATCCAAATCCGAATCCGAATCCGAATCCGAATCCGAATCCGAATCCGAATCCGAATCCGAATCCGAATCCGAATCCGAAGCCGAAGCCGAAGCCGTAGCCGTAGCCGAAGCCGAAGCCGAAGCCGAGCCGAGCGAGCGACGACGACGACGGCGCGAGGCTTGCCTTCTTCTCAACTCTTTAAGAGCTAGAAGAAGAGCAATTGCTTATATACCCATAAAAAACCTCTTCCTCTTCCAATATGGGACAATGCCCATTTGCCAAGGGAGGGGGAACTTAAAATTTCACTCAAAAATTTTATTTCCCTCCATTTCCCATTCACCCTCTTTTAAGTATTTAATATATTAATTAAACACATCCAAAACCCAACAATCCCCCACATGAATGGGGAATGGCTATATCACGGAAGTATGCATGAAAAACTGTGTGATTCACAAGTAAGGATTAATTGCATCTGATAAGTAGGTTTCCCTTTGAACTTTCCGTAGTGAACTTATGTCGGATATACTCGATCAATCGATAGATTTGATATCTTTGAACCGTCGAACTTTAGTGTATACCTAGACAACCACAAGTCACACAACCAACCCTTAACCGTCTTTGGTTCTCATTGTTGTGTTCGTTTTCAGCCATGAACACCGCCTGGTTTCATAAGTGCGTAGAGAACTGGCCTTACAATGTTCTCCTTGAAGCGGCTAACACTTCACACTTACATAGGTGATTCCTAAACGTGTCATCCCGTAGATACACTATTTGATATACCCTGTATCAAATTTAGAAATCATTAAAAAGCCTTAATGCTTTATCCTTGGTACTGAACATTGTCTCATCACGAGAATGGACCAAAAGTTTAGTTGACAATGTTGAACCGTCATAAATGACTTTGTTTGATCTCCTTGAACCTAGATCTTGGGATCTCCAGTCTTCTAGGTAGAGTTACCGCCACTATGACTTGTTCTCGGCCACAGTCCCATTCCCTTTGATGACTTCTCAACTACCTCTCTAGTTAGGCCTTTTGTAAGTGGATCCGACACATTATCACTTGACTTTACATAGTCAATCGTGATAATTCCTCTAGAGAGTAATTGTCTAACGGTTTTATGTCTTCGTCNCGAGCCCACTGAATTCACAGTGTTTCCTTAAGGAATTTAATCCCCTCCTAGTACCCAAGGTTATGGATTATTTCCTCCCAGGATAGAACGAATTACACACTGGTGTAGTGGTACTTCAAACCCCAGTGTTTCAGCGAACACAAAGTTCGGTAGCAAATCACACTTACTTTGTGCTTTGTTTTGATGCCAAAAGTATGCAGAAGAAGGAGAAGAAACTCAGAAAATCGTAGTTAAAATTCTGAGCAGAATAGTGTTGTATTTATAGCCAAAGTTGGGTCTCTTCAGAATGGCTGTTTATGCAAAACGCCCACAACATAAATGCCATTACATAAATGGCCATTTACTCAATAATAAAGAGGGAAAATAAAGAGGAAAAATTGAAGAGGGTAGTTACTTTTCTGTTACCAAAACAGAAAAACGGATTGGATTTAATATTAATATTTAATATTAATATTTTGTTATTAAAACAAATATTTAATAACATTTCTGTTAATATTTTACTATTAATAAATAAATTTGGTCCAAAAAGTTAATCAATCAATCATTTGACCAAATACGAAGCCGAAGCCGAAGCCGAAGCCGAAGCCGAAGCCGAGCCGAGCGACGACGACGGCGCGAGGCTTGCCTTCTTCTCAACTCTTTAAGAGCTAGAAGAAGAGCAATTGCTTATATACCTATAAAAAACCTCTTCCTCTTCCAATATGGGACAATGCCCATTTGCCAAGGGAGGGGAACTTAAAATTTCACTCAAAAATTTCATTTCCCTCCATTTCCCATTCACCCTCTTTTAAGTATTTAATATATTAATTAAATACCTTAAAAAACCAACATTAATAACCTCCTTCTTAACTTACAGGAGGAAGAGCATAGATAAGTGTTGCTAATAAAAATGTATACTTGATTATGCAAACAAGAACAAGAATGAATTAGGAACAGTAACCTGACTATAAAATATTACCTCTTAGGTTTTAGTGTCTTCTTCTGTGAAAGTTCCTACGTCTTTGACCCAATTAAGACAGATTTCCATGTCATTTCACTAAGAAAA